CACCTGACCAACACCTGACCAACACCTGACCAACACCTGATCAACAACCGACCAACACCCAACCAACACTCTACCTACCAACATCCGACCAACACCTGAGCAACACCCTACCTACCAACACCTGACCAACACCCTACCTACCAACACCCGACCAACACCCGACCAACACCTGACCAACACCCTACCTACCAACACCCGACCATCACCCGACCAACACCCCACCAACACCCTACAACCCAGTCAACCAACCATTGTTGATGATCATTAACAGCGTATTAGATAACAGTCTCCATCATTGCCAATATCAGCCAGTTTTCTGCAGCTAAATTTTGATCAGTCAAGCATGATCAATCAAAGTTCATCAGTCAACTGTACATTGTCAACTATCATCAGTCATATTTGATTGGGTACATAGTGCTTAAGCAGCTAGAATGGCACTGACTATCTTTACATCACTTACAGGATCAAATGCAGAGAAGAGTAGTTTAAGTGGACTACAAATTGGCAGATCATGGTACTTGGCATAGTCATCAAGTGTAATGATACCATCTTTATCAGTATCTATCACAGCAAACGTCTCAAGCTGGTCTTTCATGTAATCTAAATTTATCCTGTGAAAAAAAATTACTAAATTAGGCCAAGTAACAAAGATTRATATTTCAGAACAGACCACAAAAGACATGTTGCAAATAAAAATTATTAGTCGGCCTTCCAATGCAAATATTTTGATAGTGTTAACTTACAAGGACTGCAGAGATTTTCCAATCTTAGGCCCCACTTTTTCCATACTAGTCCCTAGTATTTTCCAATCTTAGCCCCCCCCCCCCTACTTTTTAGGATAGTCTGCAGTTAGTCCTTGTCCTACCCAGACAAACAAGCTCTGCTCAAGTGCAGTCTCTACTTAAACATCAATTGCATGGAGGCCCATTCTAGGGACATGTACAAGTCTTTTATTTTATTTGTTCAGGGAACACCCTAAGATGAGCAATTAGATAATAGACCTAGAATAGAGGTCACCCCTACATTCATGCAAAGGAAGCTTATGCGTTGCTTGAAAAAAGCTCATTTGTTAAGAAAGAGCAGTTCGTAGCATAACGTGTAATTTGTGTCATCATCAGGTCATCAAACCCTCTCAAAGTCAGTTTGGCCCCTTTACAYGAACATGGGATACAAAGGCAAAGTCATTGCTCATTCTAGCAGCTGAGCACAGGTTGGTCATAATTGTTCAATCATATTTCAATCATGCTCAACTGCTAAAATGGCCTACCCTTGCAACAGGTATAATTGAATGTTGTTCATTGTTACCCAAGTGTTTTCGAAAGGCTCTGATATTCAACTATAGCCACATCATCAGGTAGGCCCAGTTCACTTGCTTTACTCATCAGGATGCAGTCTTCAAAGGAGTGCCCTGTTGTAGGGACACCAAGGCATCTAAATATACAAAAACAATTCATAAAACAGTGTCATAATGTAATGATTTGTGATTTATATAGCGCCCTTACTACGTACATATTCAAAGGCACTTACAATTATTAAGTGGTTAATGTGACATGACTGGGATGGTCACTGCCAGGATTTCTTAACGTCCTCAGTGGGAGGGTCTTTTTTTACCTCCCTCCAATATTGGTTAGTAATCATGATGAAGTCTGGAGAGATGGGACCACCATTTAAAGTGGTCATCCGCGCCACTTGAAAGGCTAACCATTTGTAGATGAAATTACATATGAAGGCAGCACTTTCTCCTCAATTATTAAGACCCTGAGTGYTGATCCAGCTGCCAAGGCTCAAACCCATGACCCATGATTAATTATAATCTCTAGTGTCAAGAAATTATCTGGCTATGACTTGTTCTTACCTTGCCATTTCTTCTCTCACATTATCTGCAAACAACTTAGGGTTCTCAAGCTCCTAAAAGCAATAAAAACGACAAAAAGAAACTTGATATTAAAATGATGTTTAAAAGTGAATGCAAGTAGGATATACACGAAGGAAAAGAAGAAGGAAAAGGAATAAATCAACTAATAGTAATTATTAATATTCAATTATTATCTAATAATTATTATCATTAYTATAATCAAGATGACAAATACCAAGAGAAAGAATGGGGTTTAGCAAACTCAATAGGAAGATAAAGAAGAGAATACTTTCTTGTTTCTGAAGAATACAGAATTCTACTGTCAAATGAGACATGTTTCCATGGCGACAAGCMTACRTACCTTTTGTGTTGGTGTCCTGAYAGGCAACAGCTCCAGCTCGGCTTCRTGATACAGCTGACACATGATCATCATGAAAAGGTGCAATCTGGAGAGAAAGCAAAGTGACCTTTATTGAGACTTGTAATAATAAAAGGGTAATGACACTAGTCCTTTGTTGGAGTAAGTTGCTTTTTTACTCTTCCTAGTTTTTTCATTTTTTCTTCATCTTTTCACTGTGTATAATTTACCCTTTTATCATTACTGTTTCATTTAGAAACACTGAGACCTGTTGACCTTCAACTGTGGGCTTAACAGAAGCTATTTACTCACCCAGTTGGTCCATCATACACCCAGGAATAGATATCCTATCAAACCAAATCAAATTTGACGTTAAAAATTATTCATGTATAAACAATGTGTGAAACTGCAAGAAACTGGCACCAGAACTAATGAACTTTTGCCCAGGTGACTATGAAAGGAAATTGGTGAGTGAATTGAGACTACAGAAAATGCACTAGTTGAACTAATGGGCTCTATACACAATCATGTAGTTGGTGTAGGCTCTATCAATCTCAATAGTCATGAACTTTGCCTTTTACTATGATCACAGAATTAACAATCTTGAYTTTGTACTCACTGGTTTACTGATGTATTTGACACAGATTGGCTGGACTGGACAACCAGGTATGAATGCTCCTGAAACAGAATGCAT